TTAAATCTCAAAAATACTGAAAGTTTGTCGACCTGTTCACTTCTCAAAACCTGCTGGCCGCAAAATATTATTTTAATTTCTGTAAGAACTACCTTTTATCTCTGCAGTACTCAAATATTACAGTCCTACTAAGTCTAACTTTTGAGTTTTGAGTTTTTTTCCCTAAGCCATATTTTAGCCAACTGCGGCCAAAGTCGATTATCGATGGTCACTAAAATTGAAATATCTAGATATAAATAAGTTTATATTTAACTGTAAGTTACTCATCTTTGCATAAGATATATGCAAAGATATATATGGAAGGATTTGTGTTGTGATGATTTGTTATGGATTTACGAATTTTTAAACATCGCCCAAATTTCATGAATGAGAAGTAGTCAAAATCACTAATTTGGCCCCCTAGGGGACCCCCCCTGAAACTTTGCAAAAAAGCTTCGAGACACAAAACAAAATGTGTTTTGGAAATAACCTTGGAAGGGCACCCTCACACACAAAGTTTGAAAGAAATCTGTTTTTTCACCCAAAATGGTTATGAGGTTCTTACAGAGACAGCCTCTTAATTTTGTATTAGCAAAGTATTGTTTCACCAGAAAAGAACTAGCAAAGGGATTCTGTTGTTCTGCCATCCCACATGGCCGCCAGCACGTGATCAAAACCTCTATAAAGTAATTCTGACACATATTACCTTTTCATGTTGCAGTTGAATGGCTTCCTTGTCATAACTATCATCATGGTTATTGTTGCGACATCTCAGGCTATTGCCTCTGGAGTGTTTTATGTAGTGTTCAAAGGACATCAGTGTTACGATTCTGGGAGTAGTTGTGTCTGTGGAAGTGAGACTTATGAAAGTAAGTAATAAAAAATTATTGGATGAGATTGAGCAGGATATTGACCAAGGTCTTGTTATCTGCCGAAGCCGTAGGCTGAAGCGGATAAAATAGCCAAGGTCTAGGTAATTTACGATATCGTGCGAGACGAAAACCGAAATCTCTAGGACGAGCCGATCATTTAAAAAAAATCTCTTGTTCCAATGCCTTTGTCCCCCTGGAAGAGCGCATGGCAAATTTACAATATAACATAAAAACCATGATGGCATCTATCGTGAATATAAACTCGTATTGCTCAGTGTCAACCTTGAATGTAAGTAAAATATTCACTACTGAAAGCAAAACCCGTGGAATTCTAAAGCAATTGAGAAAATAAACTCGAAATAGTCCGTAATATTAATGTCTTTTTTTCAATAGGGTCATTCTGTAACAACTTGAACGACCTTATTATTGAACTTCTCACCATCACAATCTGCAATGCCGTTGGTGCCGTCTCTAGCTTGGCTGGATCGATCTTCGGCTGCATGGGAACTTGTTGTGCATAGTTATGCTTATCCTCTACAAGCATGTGGTGCTCCACCGCAATATACAGAGAAATATTAAGCAATGACTAATCTGCTTTAACAAATAGTAGTCACACGGTAGTCTAGTCAGCGGTAGGAATAATCGCGGGTTAACCTAGCTTTTTGCGTAAAATGTCGTAATGATAATTTGTATCTTAGGCCGGGGCCGGACATTAATTAGAGAGAGGGGAAGGGCTGGTGCATTTTAATTTTGATCCGCATGTTATTAAATATCCTTGATTCCTCTTTCCTGCTGCTATCATCAGTTTGATAGACCCCTAAATTCTGATTGGAAAGAAAGAAAAAAAAAAAAAAAAAAAAAGAAAAAAAAAAGAAAAAAAGGAAAAAAAGAAAAATCTCATATCTAATGTGGATAAGATTGGATTCGAACCCACCGAAAGAAATTCAATTTAAAAAAATTCTAAAAATAGATTCCACTGTGCCATACCCCCGAGACATCCGCAGAGCTGAGGCGGCGTATGGACTTCGGACCTGACGGCGATTAAATCCTTCTGCCCTTG